TTTGGTTTTTTTGCCACGTCTAATTCCCTTTTTATCTTCTACTTCTTTTCTTCCTTTTTTCTTTTTCCTTTTTGCACACAGACTCCTTGTCATCATATTATAGGGATAGGACCCCATAAAGTGACTTTCAAAATATATTAGTATACTCTATTTTATTATGTGTAATTTTAGAAAGTTCCACACCACGATTCAAAACCAATTATAGTTACCACTTGTACTGTTGTACAAGTTTTTTGTACACTATCTGGTCTATATAATTTAAATTTATATTTTAATCGTATAATATAAGTTGATTTGTTTAAATATATGACATAGCCTTCACTAGGATTTAGGGTTGTAGTTGTTCCATTTTTATTTTTAACCATGAAACCTATAATTATTACCCTTGAGTCCTTGACTAATGTCTTTTGGAATGTCTTTTTTTTTTTTTTAAAATACCTTTTTAACCAAGAAGATTGAATGTGCATTGGGACAATGACACGTACACATTCTTAGTCATCTTAAAGTAGTAGCTTTAAGCAATTAACTTTTAGTGATTAATCAAAACAAGAAAAGGGCTAAAGAAGCAACTAACTTTAAATTTGGCCATTTCCAACAGAAACAGTTGATGATGAGGTCATGGACCCTACCTACATGACACCACGTCAGCATGATGGGCTTCCACGTAGGAATTTTTTTTTGGGTTGCTAATAAGGATAGATATATTAAAGCTACTAAAGGAGTTAAAAGGAGTTGCTCCTATTGCAAACTGTTAAAGCACCCTATCAATTAAACATCGACAGAAATAAGGATATTACTCTATCTATATATAGTAAATAATTAAAAGAAACTTTTGAAAGAAATGTTAACAACAACAGCAACAACAACAAATAATTCAGTGTGATCCTACAAGTATGATTTGAAAAATGTACGCAGTCTTATTCGTATATTGTGAAGGTGAAGAGACATTTTCGATAGATCCTCGGCTCAGAAGCATAGTAGTCACAACATTATTGAAAAAGAACACTAAAGCAAAAGAAAAAATTGGTAATAATAGGGGTGGCAAGTTGAGCTCAAATCTATTTGACCCGTCCAACCCGCTCAAGGTTGGGCCGGTCATTGACCCATCTATTTATTGAACTCGGTCTATCTTGACTCAGTCCATCTAAAATTGGGCTGATTTTTAGCCTAAAAATATCCATGAGTAGCTTTACTAAAATATCTTTAAAATAATTCTTTTTTTATATGTTATATATGACAACAATAAAAGAAAAATATCTTATTTGATAATTAAATAATCCATACAAAAATAACACATATTAATTAAAGCTTGATAAGAGGGAAGAAATTCAAAAATAACCTGATTTTACAAGTGGTCATTGAAAAATAGCTACAGTTTCAAAAGTAATCGAAATTTAGCCACTTTTCATGTAAAAATAAATCTAGATGAAAACACTGTTCAAAATACGGAAAATATTCCAGCATAATATACTGGAGTTCTAGCATAATATACTGGAACTCCAGTATATTATACAAGACTGGAACTCCAGTATATTATACTGGAGTTCCAGTCGTATAATATACTGGTCCAGCATAATATGCTGGAAGTTCATACACAGGTGCTCAAATCTCCACTATATTATGCTGGAACTTTCCGCGTAGTGGAGTTCCAGCATAATATGCTGGAAGTTCATACACATGTGCACCAATCTCCAGTATATTATGTTGGAACTTTCCGTGTTGCAGCAAAATAATGGCTATTTTTCAATGACTTTGCAAACGTTGGCTATTTTTTAATGACCAATTCGAAAACTGGCTAGCCCGCGCTATTTTTACTGATAAGAGTTGGGCGTATTGAGTTATGATCCAAATTTTAGCCCATCTTCCCAACCCATCTTAGCACAAGTAACTATTTTTTGACTTAGTCCATTTTGACCCGCCAAAAATCAATCTAAACATCCCATTTGGCACCCCTAAGGATCTAAATATAAGAAAGTAAGAAAATACTATTGATACTACATATAAGAAAAGGAACGTGAATTTTTATTGGGGGTGTATAAGGCGAATAGTTCAAAAAAGTGCATTGAGAAAATATTCCACTAGTCGAGATGTTAGCCTATGAAGTTCAAATTTTCTTCTTCTTCTTCTTTCCCCTCCCCCCCCTCCC